GTTTTAAAAGTTTTCAGACATTCCTCCAGGGCTTATCTTAAGCACATTTTTATTAAGTTCCCTTCTTTAAAAAAAAGGAGATCCAGTTAGTTTTGACGCTCATGGCCTTTGACAAAGATAATCTTTGTCCTTTCCAGCTGCAGCAAATTTAAGATAATCTCTTCTTCAAGTGGACTTTATTAATCTTCCAAATGAAATACCATCCTGAGGTAAAACAATTATTTCCAGTTCAACCCTTAGTAACAGTTAAGTCTCCGCTGGAAAAGATGGTTAACATCTGGCAGATTCAATATCTGCACCAATTAAGAACAATTTTGAAACCATAATATACAAATCTATTGGAGTGTTCAGACTAAAGCTCTCCACGGCCATCAGCAGCCTTCTTGCAGCTAAAAAAAAAAAAAAAAATAAAAAAGAGGAGGAGGGAGGAGAGAGAATGACTGCAGAAGGTTTTCAGCGAGTCAGCAGGCTCTGGCTGGCCACACGCAGCAGTATTTTGCCTGTCACAGCACCCAGAGATGCACTGGGATCTTCAGGGGAGATCTCCCCGGGTGCAAGGCTGGGAGAGGGGGCTTCTTGGGGTGAGGAGTGTCCCCCTGCCACGTCCCCACAGCATCCCTCTGATGGCCAGGAGACACAGCGCCAGCGCCCCAGCCTCCACTGGCAATCCAACTGGTCTAACTGGGGAGGGGGAGCACATTTGTTTTCCCCTTCCCATAACCAAGTAGATGTAAATCTCTCACCAACACAGGACATCATCACTAATTCAAGATGCTGCAGCCCTGCTCAGCTTGGCAGACCCAAGGAAGGGCTCCAAAGCACACACATACCAGGGACGGGCAGTTACACAAGGACTGTGCTGGTTTCACATCCTCAAGCGCTCTTCAGAAAGCAGATTTTTCCTCTAAATAACCTGAACAGGTCACAGGAACACAGTCCCTCGCAGGGCAGGGGCAATTAAACCTGTTTATCCCCCTCAGTGCAGCTGGTGACCCACCAACCCAGGGATGGATCCAACCAAGGCTCAGACATTGGTCACTCCAAACCCTGCTCATCTCACCCCAAAGGAGGTGGAGCAGTACAGTTGCTTTTGTTTATTCTTTTTCTGTCTAGAAAAAAAAACAACACACACTTCGCCTGTGTGTTTCAGGTTACAAAATCTGATTTACCTCCATTTTCTGGTAACTGTCCCTGAAAGTATTTTTTTTTATTGAGTTAGTTTGACTGCAAAGAAAGTGGACAATTTTACCTTCTCGTTAAAAGGGTAGTAGCAGATAAAAAGTTACAAAGGATTTGGAGTTGATCTATGGCCAAAAGCTCTTCTAAATGCTTTCTTCATAGTTTGATGGAAAAAACAACACCCAAAACACTAAGGAAAATGAATTTTAAGTTCATTTTTCCTATAAAATTCCTCCAACTCCGACAGCTGAATTAATAATCCACAGTGTAACATTATGATCATCACTAAAAAAAAAATACTATAAGATTAAGACAACACGTTAAGCAGAAAAAGATTCACATTTACATACCATTTGTGTAAAATAACATCATCTGGGGGAAAAAAAAAAACAACGTGAATTTTGGTCTGAAATATCTGCTGGGCTCCTTAGGGGGAACATTTCCTTAATTGTATTTCAGAGATAAACAAAAGTAAAATATGATGTAGGTGCTCTACTGCCTATGCACTCCAATTCTAGACCTCAGAACTCCAGCGTTAGGATGTCCAAGAAAAATGATTTTAGGGGATGGAAGGAGTTGAACATATTTTCCTAAGATGAAGCCTGTTACCAATAAGACCAAAAATTGCACAGGCAGAATTTCATTGGAAAAAGCATCCGAGATAATCTCCCACTATTGTTTTTAAGAGTAGGAGTAAAACTACCTTTAAGAGAAAGGAAACAAGAGGGATTGCTCCCCCTTGGAATTCCACCATCGCATTTTTCCATTCAAAAGTATGACATCAATGAGTCTGGGTCTTCAACAACAACAGACACATCACACATGAGCCATGTCCTTTGAACACTAAGGATTCACTCTAAATATTCACTGCCTTGGCAATGCAATCATCTCCCTGGCATTCTCCTGGTGGCCAAATGTTTCAGACAAGAAATATTTGCTAGCTGTGCCCTCCTTAATCAAGTTGTCATCCTGGAAAGAGGAAAAAAGCCTCCATTGTTGTAGGAAATAAATGTGACGTTATCTCTATCTGCTTTAGCATCCTTCCATATTGAGTTGGTGGCTTCTTGGTCAGGTTACAAGGCCTGATTGTTTCAAAAAGGCTGCCACGTTCTGCTGGTTCTTGAGCTAAGCAAAATGGTTATTTTCTTGGTGTGAAACAACAACCAAGTACAAAACTGCTCTCCAAAACCTCTAGCAAACAGGGTGTTCCCAACACAAAGCTGCCTGTGCCATGGAGAGGTGTTTCACCTGCCAGGAGAAGGGGCTGCCCATCTTCACAGGATCCCAAGTCCACCTTAGAAACTCTGCACACTCCTAACTTTCTGCAAGCCCCAACAGCACCGTCAGGAGACGGGCACAAGGCTTGTTTTCCACTCAGAGCTCATTTCCCTAAATAAAACTCCATCATCAAAGGGTTCCCAGCCAGATAAAGTAAACCTAAAGCGCGTATTTATACACAGGTACGTACACACAAACATGCCAGGACACAGAATCCCTCCCCTGCAAAAACAAACAAGCAAATATTGGTACCAATCTTCACAGGATTGCTGACAAACACTGCAACTCCCCATTAGCTCATGGTAAAGAAATCAAAGTGACTAATCTACTCTGACTGCGAGAATTAAAATTAAAACAGCACAGTATTACTCTGTAAGCATGCAAAAGTGTGCTCAAGGCCACCAGCAAAAAAGCCAATCTCCCCCAAAAGAGCTTAACGTGTGACGTCCATCTATCAGTGAAGGTCACAGGAGAATGGAATAATCATTCCAATTACATGGTAATAACATCCCACAAAAGACACACTGCAGCTACAGTACTGGTGTGATACATGTTGATACACCTTCATCAAATTCTGTTTTCAAGCACCAAGAGAAAAACCCGTTTCAAGAACAGGAAGCAGAGTGAGAATAAGATTTGTGATTGCCTCTAACAAAGAGGCCCATTTCCATTGAATTTATATGGTTTATGCAATCCCTGGGAGTGTGCGAGCACTCACACCTGAGTATGGACTATGGGGTGAAAAATTGCTGTACACGACCAGGTGAAAGCAGAATAGACAGAATCAGCTGTAGAAAGATTGAACTTAAATGGCCCACAAGTCCCATCTTCCTTAAGAAATAAATAAATGACATATCCATTAAAAAGAAGAAGTATCCCCAGGTTCTGGTGACATAACCCACACCCAACACATTATCTTCTTTAACCAAACCACCACCAAGTGCAACTTCCTCTGAAGCACCGCTGCTCCCATCGCCTTGGTACCAACCATAAAAACAAAAACAACCCCGTGCTGCGGTGACAGCTAACATTCTAGACTGACAAAAAAAAAAAAAAAAAAAAAAACCCACCTCCTTTTTACTGAGAACTTGGGCTTGTTTCTGAAATAACAACTTTTTTCTTATCGCTGCCCCTTGCAGAGATTTTATCATCTGTTTATTTTTGTAAAAAAAAAAAAAAAAAGAAAAAAAGAAAAAAAAAAAAAAAAAAAAAAAAAAAGATGCCAACTCCTTTTTTCCATCCCGATTCAGCCACAACGCACAGAGCAATCGAGGCACACAAGCTTTAAGGAGATGCACTGAACGTAGCCAGCACTTTAGTTAATGAACAGGCCAGAAATTACTGCTTGAACCCTGACAATGAAACCTCTCTAAAGCGAGTGAATTCACAAGAAGAGGTCTGTTATAAAAGCTGATGGCTGGAGGGATGCAAAGAGCACACTGCAGTCCTGTTACCCTGGACAGAAGAAATTCAGCTACGCTTCACAGGCCACACAGCCCAGAAACGCCGGCTGCCTCCAAAAAACATAGGAAAGGATTAAATCTGTTCTACAGAAAAAAAAACCCCAAACAAACAAACAACAAAAACACAAGGCTGGGAAAGGAGGAAACACATTTTCAGCCTAAAGATGCCAAAACTCCAAACGGGAGTGCCCACGCCAGCCCCAAAGGACAGCAGTTCCTCAGACAATGCAGGAATCTCCCTGCAGAATCCCAACTAGCTTTTTTTTTTTTATTATTTTTTTTTTTCCCCTCTCCTCTGGCCTCCATCTCTGCCACAGCCAGGTTGAGCCGGCAAATACAGCAACCCGACCACAAACAACAAAAACACAAGGCTGGGAAAGGAGGAAATACATTTTCAGCCTAAAGATGCCAAAACTCCAAACGGGAGTGCCCACGCCAGCCCCAAAGGACAGCAGTTCCTCAGACAATGCAGGAATCTCCCTGCAGAATCCCAACTAGCTTTTTTTTTTTATTATTTTTTTTTTTCCCCTCTCCTCTGGCCTCCATCTCTGCCACAGCCAGGTTGAGCCGGCAAATACAGCAACCCGAAGGGAACGCTCTCCATCACCGGGGGGGGGTGGACAGCAGTTAAAACACCAGTTAAAAACCCAGGGCTTTCCAACAGGCTAAGAAAAACCTCCAGATCACCAGGGTTTACAGAGCCTGGCAGCGTCAGGGCTTTTGTTTTGACGAATTCCGAGGAACATCTGGGAGTGCAAACCTTCCCCTGCAGTATTTGCAACCCAAATATTGCAGCACTGAGCTAATTTCAGAGAGCTGGCACACGAAATCGACTACTGGAGTGATTAGTCCAGAAAATGAAGGCAAGCTAAATTTAGGAACAACTATGCAATGCAATATTAATAACAGATTGTTTCCCTTCACCAAAAAGGAATTTTTTTTTTTTTTTTTTTTTTTTAATTTAAGCTGACAATGCTCCTGTAAAGATCAAGGTTCTCCAGCCTCCCAGGGAAGGATCTTACAG